ACTTTTTTTAAAGGTTCTACAAAAATCATGAAAAGGTAATTCAATAGTATCTTTCCAATATTGTAAAACGTTATTAATGTCAGACCTATTTTTAATGGAGCATCAGAAAAAAGATTCCTATTCAGAGGAAATTACATTACATTATCAGAGAACTTCTTTAAGATAAAGGACAACTTCTAATATAACGTCGATAATTAATTTGCTTCCAGGTTCTGGCGCTAAGCGGTCGCCCTCTGTCGGTGCCCGTGACCCGCTCTGAAGACCCTGTCAGGCTGGGAGTTTGACTGGGGCGGTACATTAATCTGTCAAACGGTAACGGCCATATGCTCAAGGGAAACAACTCTTCCTTCAACATTGATGTTCAAAATTAGAATTGTACCTCTTGTTATGAATACTTTATAAGGAAAATATTAAAATAAACAAAAAAAAAACCAAAGGTCATAAAAGGTTTTCTAGAGAAAAAGAAAGTGGATGCAGTACCAGTGGATCAAGCCTTAATTAATGATCCTAAAATATTTAGTCTTGACAAGGCAGGAAAAAGACATATTCGCCCCATAAATTTTGAAACCGTAAATCCCTAGTTTTCTATATATGTTTTTTAACTTCTTTTGCAATACATTATTGTGTTCTCAAAATAAGAGTGACATAACTTTTAAATAGTTTGACACTTGGATCTGAGATCTTTGATTTTGCTAAATATGATGAGATTATAGTGTTTTGCAGCCTAGAATTTAATATCTGTTAAAATTCTAACTGCGTGTGGTATTTTGTTACATTTGAATTTATCCATATTTAATTATCTGCAGTATCATGGGTTAACTTTTATACTGAAACGAATTTCTTCTCATATGAATGTAGAGTTATGTATTTCTCTAAGGAAATGTAATAATAAATGTCTCCTCGATTTCCTGTCGTCTTGAATATTGATTATTTTATCATTTAAAGCTGACCATGTGGGTCATTTTGCCTCTTTGTTGGAGCTGGTTCGCCTAAATATTGATTTAAAAAATCACTTATCTAGCACACTGTTATGTTTTGATACTGTAGAAAACTTAGAAAACTTATTAAATAAATCATCTAATTACCACAAATTAACTTTACTGTCAAAAAGGTATCCAAAATAATGCCGTAATTTACACATCTTGGAAAACAAACAGTAGAAACATTGATTTTAAACACAGAGTTTATCAAACAGGAAGTGAGCAAAATTCACTCCAATTCCTAGGGTACTGCATGTTTATACAACTGTATGAGACCAGTAAAAAATCCTTCCAAAATTACTTTGCACTGTCCGATGTTTATTTTTCAATAATTGGTATTACTTGATAAAAAAGGTACACATCAGTAACAAAATTAAAGTATTAAGTATTGTATATTAGTATCCTTCTTATCCATGACAATTTCAGAGACATTATGAAAGTCTCTAAATTTATCACTCGGAGAAACTCATTTTCGTAATTCCAAATAACAACATTTCTTTTTATTTTACCAGGTCCTCACTTCCATAGGAATTTAAAGAAGAAGTTTGTATAGCTTGAATTGTTTCTATATTAGGAATTGACAAACTAAGAATGAGGTGGTAAACACATTTTCCAGAATACTCCGGATTTATGTTCAGTTTGAATCATACACCGATCTGCGATATGATTTAATCACATTAATATAGCATAGACTATGTTATCAATATGATTATATTTACTGTCTACAAAATTCATAAAGAAATATTCCATTACAAAAGTGCAAACCGTTGCTAATGTTGGAATACGTGTCAATATGACTGGGTTTTCAGATTATCAGTAATGACGACTAATTATTTTTTTGTCGCCCATTATCCCCCTCAAACCATAACGCTGCCTCCACCAATTCGACATCGCTCCAACAAGCAATTATCCTTAAAACACTCACTTTGTTGACGAAAAACGCCTTCTTTACCCGCTCAACGATCAGATCTTTTTAAAAGGACACTCGTCGCTAAACAATACTCTTGCCTACTTGGCGCAAGTCAAACGTTAATGACGTTAAGCTCAGTCACCGATAATAAATAATCTGGCCAAGGTATAGTCGCCTGGCCCTGATTTAGTTTACATATTTGCTAAAAGATGTAACATAGATGTTCCGGTCTTGAAGTGGATTAAACGATAGACACTTTAAAGTAAGACTTGGTTCAACTTTTTCTCAAGACCACCAACAAGAACAAGGTGTTCCTCAAGGAAGCATACTTTCTGTTACACTTTTTGGCCTTAAAATAAACAGTATTGCTAGCGCTCTTACACCAGACGTAGATTGTTCTCTATATGTAGACGATTTCTTATCTGCTATCGATCGAAAAGTATGAGAACAATTGAACGGCAACTTCAACAAAAATTTAGATAAAATTCAGAAGTGGGCAATAGAAAATGGGTTTAAATTTTCAAAGTCAAAAACTCAATGTGTTCATTTCTGCCGATTGCGAAAACAACATAATGACCCTGAACTTTACATATCTGGTTCTAAAATTCCAGTAGTTGATAAAGCTAAGTTTCTAGGAATTTATATTTGATAAAAAACTTTTCTTTTATACCACATATTAAACATTTGAAAACTAAATGCCAAAAAGCTTTAAATTTACTTAAGGTTTTATCAAGTACAAATTGGGGATCAAATTCTTCCACATTACTGAAATTATACAGAAGTCTTATCCGATCAAAATTAGATTATGGTTTCTGTAGTATATGGGTCCGCAAGAAAAATCATATCTTCAAATGCTAGATACCATACATCACCAGGGTTTACGTTTAGCTTTAGGTGCTTTTCCCACTTCACCTGTAGAAAGTCTATATGCGGAAGCTGGGGAACCATTGCTTTATCTTCGTCGTAAAAAACTATCACTTCAATATGCAACTAAAATTTCATCTAATAGGAAAAATCCAGCTAAAAATATTATTTTCAAACCAAGTTATACTGAAAAATTTGTTAACAAACCAAAGGAAATTAAACCATTACGCCTTCGTTTAAAAGATGATTTAGATAAACTTAAAATTAATCCAGACAGTATCCTTCAAAATGATGATGAGGATGTTCCACCTTGGACTTATAATTCCCCGGAAATAAATATTAACCTTTCAAATATAAAAAAGGCATCAAATTCACCTGAATAGTTCAAAGAGAAGTTTCTAGCAATTAAGGAAGAACATGATGAAGATTTTATACATATTTATACGGACGGTTCAAAAGAAGGTTGCAAAGTAGGTACGGCTGTGTTTGAAAATAATTTACATCTAGTATGAGGTTACCAGATAATGCATCAATTTTTACTGCTGAAGCAAAAGCTATCGATTTAGCATTGTCATACATAGCACGGCATACCCACGATAAATTTGTGATATTTTCTGACTCGCTTTCTGTTTTAATATCCATTAAAAATAAAAAAATCTGACAATATCATGGTAAAGAAACTTCTTTTGCGATTTCATGATATACTAAAAACAAAATATGTTAAATTATATTGGATTCCAAGCCATGTAGGAATACGAGGAAATGAAAAAGTAGATGCTTTAGCTAAACAATCAATAAATTTTTCAAAAAACTGACTTATTGTTACCTGCTTGTGATTTTAGACCGGCCATAAATAAACTCGTATCATCTGAATGGAAAGCAAATTGGGACAATGCCGTTTTTAATAAAACTACACGATATAAACCCATCTCTTGATATGTCACCATCTCTATCTCTGTCAAACCGCCGTGATCAAAACAGTTCTTCTTCGATGCCGAATTGGACACACTAAAATTACCCACTCTTATCTCCTCACAAATGACAATGCCCCTTTCTGTGTAGGTTGTAATGAAAATTTTACTGTCAAGCATTTTCTTCTTGAATGTCATGATTTTTCACAGGCCCGTAATAGATTTTATTCTGTAAATTCACTCAAAGAACTTTCTAATACAATTCCATCAAAAAACATAATTGATTATTTAAAAGAGATAAACTTGTATTCTAGGATCTAATTGGCTCATTTCTATTGTCATTTACAATGTTTTACATATTATTTTAAGCCTTTTATAGCATTCGGTACGATATGGCCAGTTATGTGTTGACGTGCCGTAAAAATCCAAACAAACAAACTTGAAGTGGGGTCGTTATATTTGGCATACCTATACGCACACCATCATACGCTTCCAGATTGCTGAAAACGCTGCCGCAAATTGATAATTGTGTTGCAATGGCAGTTAATTTGTCTCTCACCGTCAATGGCACTTTTACCCGACGTGAGAACCTCATGAACTTCATCGTTTCCACGAAGCCATGGCATCTTGTTTAAGTGTCAAATTCAATTTGATGTGTGATGTTTCAGTGCGTAAAGGTTTATTGAGTCGAGACTTTGGATTCTTTCATGTGAGGAAGCTTTCCAGCTAGCTTACGGAATGTCGGTGGTTCTACTCAGGTGGCCGTTCGTGCCTGAAATAATGCACTGATGGGCACCTGAGGTCTTCCTCCACCAGTAAAGATGAAGCGTCGGGATATGACCTATACTGTGTCGATGTGACGTAAAACCCAAAGCAAACAAAAAAACAGTGATAAATAAAACAAGAAAAACGTATCACTCGATGTAAAAATACGTAGCCCATCGCTTCTTTTTTCTTTAAAAGAGAAGAAAACTTTGAGTTATGTTTTTGATACTTTGAATTGGTTTAGATTGCGATAAATAGATCGATCTTAAGTTTGAAAATTCGCTTGGGAAGCATGTGAACATCGACTGCGAAATCTGTATATTAACCAGAAGATTGTGGTACTTGGGACAGTTATTATATCTCAAACTGTACATTCCCAACACTTGCGGCTATGCTACTTGGCATTGGTGTTTAAAGATTCAATAAATGACATCTTTTTCATTTGCTTGTTTTTATCATTCACTTAATAATGTATCTTTATACGCTTGCTTCATGTATGTTTTTCACGTTTTTAACTTTCCTCCTTACATATTGATACAGTTATGATACGCTTTTGTTTAAATTATTCAGGTTCAAATGTTGATATATTGGTACCAGACAGCCTTGCTTACGGAAAAACATGTGAATGTGGCCGAGATCTAACATTATCTTGCAAGTTCAAGAATAAAACATTTGCCCTTGCTTGGATGAATCTAAACGATATTTCTCCAATTGCTCAATGTGTACGTAACGAATGTGACATTAACCCTAAATACATTGATCAATACAAGATATCATATGATGAAACAAATCATAACTTCAACTTGACAATTATAAAGTTAACCATGAAAGATACTGGAAGAAAGTTGGTGTGTTCAGATGGAACCAATACTGATTCAATGATTATTAGAGTCAGAGGTAAGAATTCTCTTCTGGTTAATATTTATTTACATAATTTTCAGGCGTTATTTGATATGGTTCGCCATGTGACTTCATCATATACAAGAAGCCAATATAATTGTAACACACAAAATACACAATTCAATACATGTGTTGTGACTCATAAGCTACTTTTACATCGAATAAATAGCAATGCTAAAATCTGTTTGATATTTGAAACTAACATTTTTGTCGTATCACTTTTAGTCATTATGCAAAATTTAAGCTAATTTAGCTGAAAAGATAGTTTTTAATAAATTTTACACCATGAAAGTAAAAAAAGTAACAGACACAAATTTGAATGAAAAAAATGATTTGCTTGCCAAATATTTAATATATCTGCTGTAGATAATGTAAATAAAAAAATATAATTTAAAAAAAATAAATAAAAACAAATTCGATGGAATGTTTTCATTATACATGCTCTGTTAGATAAGTTTATTGAGTGTATTTGTTTGTTTTGAGTGAATATTCTATATATTACACTTTAAACTGAGAAAATCGGAAAATTTACATGGGCACGTTGGATATATATACTGTGGGCGGTATAGATTTATCACACGGATAAAACCCAGTATCACACTGGTTAGCATTAAATAAATTGATGTGCATCATAGTAATTTCTACTTATGCAACACTCATAAATGCCAATGTAAACAGCCACAAATACATTATGTAGCATTATATAAATAACACATGGGTTTGTGGGCAACAGTAAAAATATCACCCGGACGAAAATACTGTTACCTGGGGCGTAGCAAGATATTCATACACAATATTAATAAATATCACTTTTAATACATTTTAATTACTTCTTTAGGCTATGCTTTTTTGCATAAATTGGTAAAACATGCTTATACTACTGATGCTTACAACAGGTTCCAACTTTTGACCTGTTGAAATATATGTTTCGTCTATTTAAACTGGATATAATGTAGATTCAGTACAGACCAAATACGCCTGTAAGTATTGCAAGGACCGACCAGTCGTCTTTGTCAGAAGTAAACTGGGGTCCATATATACAGTCAAACGTGTGTTTAAAGTTCATCTTCGATTAAATCTCCGATTAAATGCTACCATGTAGTCCAATACCACTATTTGACAATTTTTCATGGATAGAAATACAATAATCTCCGTAAAAAGACGACTTGTCTTTAAAGGCCATGTATGGTTTCCCTTTTGAATGGCCTTTATTCACAGGTTTGTATGCATACATGGCAGGCCAATTAGATGTGTCACATTTTGTTTGTAAAACAGCTCAAATTGATATATTTGAAACCTTTTGCATGAACCTATTATTTGAAGTAAAACGTACTTAAAGCTCTCGCTTGTCAAAATATTTTGACAACATCAGTACCCGTAAGCTGGCATTGTGAAACAATAAAGGCGAGTACGCAAATTAATGTTAGTGTATAGATAAACAGTAATATGAAAGAACGAAAGAAAGAAAGAAAGAAAGAAAGAAAGAAAGGGGACTTTTACGACCTTAAGAAATACTTTAAACGTCTTATAAGCGACGTGTTGATTAATTACCTTACTCCCTGCTGGTGAACGACATCGGGTCAAACATCTCAGACCTTATCCCTGACATTGAAAAAAATATTTAAATTTTCTTGAAAAGTAACACTTTTGTTAACGATCTGATTAACGCATAAAAAAACATCAACGTAAAATATGAAGAATTTGTTGTTATCAACATATTTAGAAATATATAAATAAAAAAGACTCTACAACCTGTAAACTTATGTTTGATATAATATATTTGGATATATAGTTTTTTGAATATATTCTAAATTATGACACATTGGAAGGAAAAGTGAAGATGTACAATGTAATTTAATTGAGCCGTGTCCATCACCACATACATTTTCCCGGCAAAGAATTGTGAAACATGAATCGCATACAAATCTATTTATAAGATGAATTTATATGAATTTATTACAGCTAGTATTAGAAATTTTAACAGAAAAAATCAATGTATGAATTTTTGCAATATTTGTTACAGATTACGAACCTCATCTTTTAGAAAATACAACAACTGGGATCATACAGGCGATCTCTGGCTGTATTACCAATGTCACGAAAGTTTCGTTTAAATGGATCAAGATATGTGTATGTTCCTTCTAATATCATAATAGTTTTATGTCAAGACTGTGATGCGAATTAAGTTAAAATTTATTTGTGATTTTATTTACATTTTTTTGAATGTTATATTCTACGTTGACAAATAAAATCGACAGGAATTACTAAAAATTGCCAAATGGCATTATTCAAATATTATACACAAGTTAGTACATATTGAATTGACTAGAGGCTATCCATGATGAAGTGATGAGATTTCATATGGTTATATTTTTAATAAATGTAAACTTTCCTTTACCCCTAGTTTGAGCACCCACCCTCCGGCCCTCTAGTCACTTCCTCTACACCCTTTACTTTTATAGGCATAATAATCAATCGTCTTCGTATTTTTCCTTGTTGGTTTCTATTATTTCCTATTCAGTGTTTTATTTGAATAACACACCCGCCCAGTCTGTGCTTTTCATTATGCCCTGTCCTGGTGTCCTGCTGGGATCCTTGTTTCTGAGTAATGTGTGTGTGTGGGGGGGGGGTGCGTTAATTGAATGCCACTATTGCTTGTTGATCTTGTATTTCATATTTTTCAGATGTATAAATTTACAGATGCATAATGAAATGTTCAAACAAAATCAGTTTATTCTTTTTGAATCATGAATATTTCAATTATTTTGCTCTTTACTAGCATTTTGAAAATATGTGTGAATAAGTTTTATAAAGCCAAGCCTTCAACATTTTAATTTGACCATGGTAGGCGACCTTGAGGGTATCTTAGTTTGACGATTTAAATGCCCTTTCCCGTCCCCGATCGGAATATCGGATAAAGATGGTCGTTGGAAGTTGTGTCTTGGAACAGCTTGGTTGCTTGAATGTTGCTCTCCGCTGTTGATTTCATAGTACACACATACCAATGCTCGTGTTTTTTCAGTCTTTTTTCACCAAATATTTAAAATATTCAGATAATCTATTTTGGCATGTGTCATATGTGTAAAGTTATACAAATACTAGTTATAATGTCTTTAAATTAACATAAGTTAGTAACATCATTTTCTGCATCGGAAACTAGTATCTACCTGTAGTACCTGTATGTATTTATGCTGGCTTATCTTGGTCTGAATGGGTGTAATCGATTATAGTTAAAAAGGTTTTGTTTAATTGCAAGTGAATATCCATAAGAAATACTATAAAATGTAACAGCTATTCAGCACATATAAAATCGTTCATTCATTGTAGGCGAGTAGCAAGCTCGAGAAAGAAATCACCCCAAAAATACAAAACGCATCTACAACAACTTGTTCGAATGATTCTGATTGCGGGAATGATCAACAAATACATTACTCAGAAGTTATTTCTGCCAAGGCCAGTGAAAATGGAAATTACTATCTGAAAATTATTGCGGATTACGGGAATGAAAAAATGGAGTCGTATCATACTGTTGAAAGATATATGCTAGAAGATAGAGGTGAATATTTACTTTGTTTCTTTCAATAGATTTCTGTGCAAATCAAGTCTTTGTAAACATTGATTGATAATAAATCTCGTAAATAATCATAATGATGAAACAGTTTTATTATGTAGATTTATTTCGAGCCGAATCGGACATTTCTGTTGTGTATCGTAAAGTATTGTTTAAATGAACATGTCTGTTCTCTTATTGTCTTATTTCAAAGTGAAGAAAATACATAATAAAAATATTTTGTTGATTATCTTTAAACTTTTTAAAACTGCAACAAAACATACGGATTCTTATATCCAAAGATTTGATGAAATTGTTGGTTCTTAGTTTATCTATATAAGATATTGCATCAAGTCACACTTTCATATCTTTCTCTGCATACTAACAATAATAAGTGATCGCATTAATTTGTTTTGAAACTACATGTATGTATTAATCTAAGTTGAACTGACGAGACTTGTTTTAGTGAGCTTGTATTCTGTTATGCGAGTATTACTAAAAGAACGATTTTATGTCAAAGTATCAATATCGACACAGCTAAATAGGGAGAGCAATAGATTTGAAATTCTGGTTCTGTGTTTCAGGATAAAATGATCCGTATTTTATTTTCATTGCTTTATGAAACTAAAATTTGTTGTATAATGCTATTACTAAATAGTACAACACAAAAAGTACAACACAAGATAGCTGGTTTGCACAGAAACAACTCTTTTAAGGATACAATGGACGAAAGACAAAACACAGGGTCTCTGGTTTGAGCTTCTGGGTGGCGAAATTACTTTATGATAATATGTCTTGGACACTGAGTGTTATGGTCATTTGTCTCTCACAATTGTTCAAGAAATCATGTGGAATATTACCTTGAAATTTGCAATAACTGTTTAATTATCCATGAAATCCGGTTCGTTACAGATAACAAAACAAACTTACAACCAAATGTGCCCTAAAAATAATGCTTGATTTAGTAGAAGAAGCGCATATGAAATATGTAAAGGCGGATTCACACATCAAAAGCAATAATAAGATAAATTACTTTAGTTGCTGATGAAAAAAGAATAAATGTGGTTGCTGTAGTTCTTTGTTGCCTTCTACCGATTCTTGCAGCATCTTTGTTATTCTTCTACGTACGTCGTAAAATAAAGTAAGTTTGGCCATTGTAATTTTCTATAAAATAATGTAATTATGATAAATATAAAACATGGATTATAAACGTACAAATTAGATATTTGCTAACATTTAAATATTCTAATAATAAATGTCTGTTTCTTTGTCTATTTCGGTTATAAATTGACCGATATACACACGCACGCACGTACGCATAAACAAAGATGAACACACGCATGCGCACATACACACACGCACCTTATGCAACAGTCCACAGAATAAACTTATTACGACCAATATAGCTGTCATTGGAACATTTGATTTATTTTTTAAATAATTTAAACGCATTTGTTAAATTATATTTTTAATATTGACAAATTTAATTTCAGAAACACTTTAATTTTCTTTCTCTGAATGATCCATCATCGTACTTAATTTGTAATTACATAAACGCTGTTATTACAGGATATTTAGTTATGCTTCTTAGCAAAAAGAAACAAAAATAAATGTTTAGAAATAAATAAATATTGTTTATTGTTCATCTTTCAAACAGTTTATACAGCTTGAAGCATTGTTTTAGGGACACATATTACAAGCAAAGAAAAGAAAATGTCAACGGTAATACTTTTTTCCCAGAAAAATACGTATGTTCTTTCACTACCTGCATGCATTTTAAATTTTGCTTTTTAAGAATGTTTACACATATTATCTACTACATTAAAGTAAAAATCATCAAATGTTTTACTTTGGCAATGTATAAATTTCAGTTTATACAAATACCCCGGTAGTAAATCTTGTTTTGTCATTACTTGATAACAAATCAATTTAGTCGAAAATGATATACAAGACCAATTACCTTATTTTTCAGAATTAGTTTAACAGACGAAATGTTCGATATGATAAGAAAAAGGACAACTGTTTATATGATTGTTATCTGCTATAAGGCATCGTAAGATGTAATGATTATTTTTGTTCTTTATCTTTCAGTTTCATTGTTTGATATAGAGGTAATAGAAAATGAGAAAATTTAGTTATGTGCTGTAAGTATCTAAAAAATAAGGAATTTTTAATAATTTTTCTTCTTAAAATTTACCTTTTTCAGAAGACATAATCTCTAAACACGACGAACAAAGCATACAGTTAGTTTCAAATAACAAAGACACACAACGACGATTTAAGGTCACTATATTTTAATTTCTTATTAGCTGACCTGAGCTATTTAAGGATCGTTGAATGTCCGTCGTCAGTCGTCCGTCCACATTAAAAAAATATTGTTCGTTAACACTCTAGCGGTAACATTTTTGCCTCAATCATCATTAAACTTTGTCAGGATGCTTGCCTATGAAATTGCTTGGATGAATTCGAATATGGGTCATCTCGGATGAAAAACTAGGTCACAGGAGCTTAAAATAGAAAAATTTTGTAAACACTATAATAGTGGCTACTGTTTCGATTGAAATATCCTGGAAATTGGTCTGAAAATTTGTTTTGATGGTTTCTAGGTAAAGTTCGAAAATGGGTCACCTGGGTTTAAAAAGAAGGTCACACAGCCCAAATATGGAAAAACCTTGTAAACACTCTAGTAGTGACAATTTTGACTCAATTGGCACCAAACTTGGTCAGGCTACTTGTCTAGGTAATTGCTCAGAAGAGTTCGAACATGGGTCATTTCGGATGAAAAACTAGGTCACAGGAGCTTAAAATAGGAAAATCATGTTTATACCCTTGTGGCTACTCTTTTGATTCAAATATCCTGGAAATTAGTCTGAATGTTTGTTTTGATGATTTCTAGGCCAAGTTCGAATATGGGTCAAAACAAGGTCACACAGTCAGAATTTGGAAAAACATTGTGAACACACTAGTGGTCACATTTTTGACTCAATTGTCATCATACTTGGTCAGGATGCTTGTTCTATATACTGTATCCTGTATAGTTTGAACATTGGTCATTTCGGATGAAAAACTAGGTCACAGGAGCTAAAAATATCAAAATCTTGTCAACACTCTAGTAGCTACTGTTTTGATCCAAATATCCTTGAAATTGGTCTGAAAGTTTGTTTTGATGATTTCTAGGTCAAGTTTGAATATGGGTCACCTGGGGTAAAAAACTAAGTGACACCGCCATATTATTGAAAAACATTGTTAACACTCTGGTGGTCATTTTTGACTCAATTATCACAGAATGCTTGTCTATGTTATTGGTCCGATGAGTTCGAACATGCTTCATCTCGGATGAAAAACTAGGTCACAGGAGCTTAAAATAGAAAAAATCTTGATAACACTCTAGTGGCTACTGTTTTAATTGAAATATCCTGATAATTAGTCTGAAAGTTTGTTTTGATGGGTTTTTAGGTCAAGTTCGAATATGGGTAACCTGGGGTTAAAAACTAGGTCACACTGCCCAAATATGAAAACAACCATTTTAACACTCTGGTGGTCACATTTGTGACTCAATTGTCATCAACTTTGGTCAGGATGCCTGTCTATGTTATTGATCTTATGAGTTTGAACATGGGTCATCTCGAATCAAAAAAATAGGTCACAGGAGGTAAAAATAGAAAAATCTTTAGTTGCTCTAGTGGCTTCTGTTTTGATTGAAATATCCTGGAAATTAGTCTGAAAGTTTTGATGATTTCTAGGTCAAGTTTATATATGGGTCACATGGAGTCCAAAACTAGGTCACACTGCTCAAATATGGAAAAAAACTTGTTAACACTCTAAGACACATTTTTGACTTAGTTGTCATCAAACTTAGACAGGATGCTTGTCTATGTAATTGCTGGGAGGATTTTGAATACGGGTCATCTCGGATAAAGAAAACTAGGTCACAGGAATTAAAAATAAAAAAATGTTGTACTCTAGTGGCTTTTGTTTTGACCTTGAAATTGGTCTGAATGTTTGTTTTAATAATTTGTAGGTCAAGTATGAATATGGGTCACCATGGGTCAAAAACAATGTGACACCGCCCAGATATGGAAAAACCTTGTTAACACTCTAGTGGTCACATTTTTGACTCAATTGTCATCAAACTTGGTCAGGATGCTTGTCTAGGTAATTGCTCGTTAGAGTTCGAACATGGGTTATCTCGGATGAAAAATTAGGTCACATGAGCGACCTAGGTCTATCTTGGCCCTCTTGTTTGTATTACTCACGACATACTCACTGGAAACCTACTATAACAATCGTTACACTGTTGCACGAAATTTAAGTTTGAGAACCAACATAATCGGATGGCTTCGTTCATAGCCGACTGGTTTCCATCTTCAATCGTCTATGAACGAAGCCATCCGATTATGTTGGTTCTCAAACTTAAGAGCGCTTCGCATTTTGCACACGGCAAAGCTGGGGCAAAGTTTAAATTTATGGAAAGATTTTGTAAATGGAGAGAAACGGCGATAATCTTGATGTTTATTTCAGCTGTTGCGTTGTTTATATTACCGTTGAAGTTTAAAATTGACAATCATCGTAAAGAATTATATCTTCTGTGTCGATGGACCAAAGGATTATGTGAACATATTGGAAATGGAATAAAATACATGGTGATTATGACGGTAGGGGTGCGGATTTTTTCCGGCGAACATTTTTATCTTGTGTATTATTATAGATGTTGAAATATGAATTTTTTCAAAACGGCTTATATTAAGTTTTTTTTTTGATATATATGATCAGTACATGTGCTGGAATTGACGAATATACATTTTATTTGGATTTTAAAGGCGTTTTGAGCTCCAAATCCCAAGTGACTGTGAAAAATGTTAGAAAGAAAGTAACTTAAAACCATGTGAAAATGTAAAATAATTGTTATATATAAATACCCAAGTTTATTGTAGAACATATATCTAATGGTTAATATGAGCTGTTTAATTGTGGCTTTAATATGCTTATAAGAAATAATTCTTTTTCATCTCTGAAATGATCATCAATCTTCAGAACTTTATATAGTGGAAATATATTAAACTTTCCCCCTGAACACTCATGTAGATGTTTATTCACCTTAAGAAAACGAAGTGACTCTGTATTAATTTGTTGTCTATGTAAATTTATTCGTAAGTTTAATCCATTTCTAGTTTGCCCAATATAAAATTGTTGACAATTTGGACAAATAATACTATATATTACATTTTTAGTTATACAGGTCATACTTTGTTTTACTGTGAAATGTTTGCCATTTGTAAACTGAATTGTGTTACCTTCGATAATTGAAGGACATGTCTTACACCTGGTTCTGTTACGTTTTGTTACAGACGGAATGTCCACTTTCATATCAAATCTGGAGGGTGATAAAATTTGTTTTAAGTTTTTCGGCTGTCTTTTACTGTTTATTATTCTTTTCTTTTGTAATATATTCTTCATTCATTTACTCTTTTGTAGAATTGTTTTACAAGAATTTATAACTGGGAACATGTTTGTATTTATGGGATTGTGTGTTGAAACGAAAGGGATAAAATTATGAACGGAAGTACAAGTGTCTTGACGATCAGTGGTATTGATGGGTCCCTTAGATATAGCCTGCTCTATTCCATGTTGTATCAGTACATCTGGATAATTCTGTTGTTTTAACTATAATTTCAATTCTAGTAGACGCTTTTCTTGTAAAAAATTCTGGAAACAAAGTGATCCCTCTTTATTTTTCACGATAGTAATAATTCTTGACGCTAAATTGAATAGTATGTTAACTTTAGTATGATTAGGATGACATGATCTAAAATCTAAATAGTTGTGTGTATCTGTAGGTTTACAGTATAAATCTGTAGAAATGTTATTTCCCGACTTCAAACAAGAATATCCAAAAAAGCCATCGCAGTTTCACTTTCATTATATGTGAATTGTATACTTTGATGCAAGTTATTAAGTTCGTTTAAAAAATCAGACGTGTCAATTTCTTTTGGTAGAATTAAAAAGCAATCGTCAAGAAATCTCTTCCAGTTAAGTCATTATTGTATTTAGTTATCATCCTTTCATAATGAGTTTCTTCTAAGTATCCGAGGACTAAGGTAGCGTAAGTTGGAGCGGTAATAGTACCCATAACTGCGCCTTTTTTTGAATATAGTATTTTCCGTCGAAGTAGAAAACTTTGTTGTATAAAATAAGTTGTAGCGATTTTATTATGAAATTATGTTGAAATCGTTTCTCTATCTTTTCTGGTATTTTTTCCATCCAGAATATCACAGCTTTCAATACAAGATCGTGGGGAATATTGGAATACAAGTTTACTACATCGAAAGTGACTAGTTTAGATTCATGATCTTCTATGTGTTCTAGCAAATATTTAAGAAAATCTAAATCATCTCTAATAAAAGCTAGGAACACTTTTTTATAGAGGTTTAAGAATTATGTCTAATAGTCGGCTGGGTCTTTGTGTTATGCTATTAGGTCCTCCACAAATAGGTCTAAAAGGTAAATCGTTAGGATCACAAACTTTCAGATATTCTGACTGTTGTTCGTTCAATGAATCAGCAATTGTTTTACTTTTTTGAATTTTTGGTTAACCTTAGAAATAACTTGTTGTGTGTCCAAAATTTGTTAGATAGTCAGACTCTTCTTTCTTAAGGCCATCACCGTATTTTCTAATAATGTCATGTAAAACATGTTAAGTTCTTAAATCTGGTCCTTCATCTGTTTCTTCGTAATAAATAGGATCATTTAATATAGATAAAATCTTCTCTTTGTAAAAAGTATTATTCATGCAAACAACAGCACCTCCTTTATCAGCCTCTTTAATTATCAATGCATTTTTATCTTTTAGAGTTTTAAGTGCTACGCGGTCATTACGAGATAAGTTATGTTTCACGTGGCTGTTATTTTCTAATGGATATTCCTTTAAAAGTTGAATAGCGTCTTCCAATGCTGTGTCATTACTTTTGGGAGGGTTCCATCCAGTCTTATTTCTTTGATGTCTGTATTTAGTTCTATTTTGTTTTCATTAGGGGTGGGAGTAAATCTAAGTCCTTTACGGAGTAAATTGATTTCGTTTTTTGATAATTCAGTATTAGATAAATTTATTACCTTTGGATTAATTACCCTGTTTTTCTGATTTATGCTATCTGCTTTCGGAAAGTTATTTCGTTGTCTACCATTACGTTTGTTTCCTTTACCGAGGTGTTTCTTTCTGACATGTTTTTACTCGTTTAGCTAATTCGTATAAAAGTACTTATTAGTAAAACAATTTTTGCATTAACTTCTATGATAAGTCAATGCTTTTAATTTTAAAGCAAATTTATTATCTCCCTTTATTTAGTCTATATAAAGGTTTATGTGTGTGTGTGTGTGTGTGTGCGTGTGTGCGTGTGTGTGTGTGTGTGTGTATTTGCGTTTATTTATACTCGCCACCGGTTGCCCATATGGGCGAGTTCTCCAGAAGAGTATTAGTCATTTTATTTTTTTGGAGGATAGTGCAATTACAGATACAGAAAGATGACCCAATTCCAGAAGCTTCTCCTGGTTCTTTAGCGTGCCAAGTGTTTAAGCACCCATACACGGGACCTCGATTTAAAGTCTCATCCGAAAGACTGATTAGTAATTTTAGTTGGCCAGCCCGGGAATCGAACCCACAATGTCGAGATTACAAGTCTCGCGCTCTTACCGATTGAGCTATGCGGGCTGGCTTATGAAGGTTTATGCAAGATCTTTACATTTATATAAGTAAATATTTTTCCATTTCCACATGGTTTCAAGTAAAACCTTTTCTGACATATTTTTTACTCGTTTAGCTCACTAATATTAAATAGTATTTATAAGTAATGGAAACGTTGTATCTACTTCTATAATTAGTCAATGTTTTGAATTTTAATACTTATTTATTACCTCTCTTTATAGAATATTTACCCTATGCATTTTTGTAGGAATTCAATACTTCTTATATAGAGAGTAAAAGAATAGCTCATTTACGGCGCAACGTCGTATTTTTACGTTTCGCACTTTTATAACGTTACGTCATTGTTATATTTGTTATGATTATATTATACGTTACTGTCTGAAGATATGTTAAAACATTCGAAAGCGCTAACAGAAATAAACGTATAAAAAATTAATGAACTTTGTACTCTGCATTTCCCAAAACATACTTTTTATGCCCCCACAAAGTGGGAGCATATAGCGTTGCACTTGTCCGTCCGTCCGTACGTCTGTCCGTCCGTACGTCCCGAAAACTTGTGAACGCAACTCCTCTCAAACCGGGTGGCAGAGTTTGATTAAACTTCCAGGGATGAACAACCTTAATGTGTAGATGGTAGTAAAGGAAGGAATTTCGCTGCGACCAAATTTAACAGAATTATGGCCCTTTGTTGATTTTTTCACTATATACTTTGCAGAAATTTTGTGAACGCAACTCCTCTTAAACCGGATGGCTGATTTTGCTTAAACGTCCATGGATGAACAACCTTAATGTGTAGATGGCAGTAAGGCAGTAAAGGAAGGAATTTTTGCTGCGGCCAAATTTAACAGAATTATGGCCCTTTGTTGATTTTGTCACTATATACCATATATATGTTATCAGTGGGGGCATCCGTGTCCTTTGGACACAGTTCTAGTTTTATACATGAGATCCACACAAGGAATCGAACTTCTTTTATATATATATTTCTATCTTTCCTTTACTAATGCTTTTATCTAGTTATATGATGTAAATGATTTCAATATGGTATAAGGGCTAATATTATAGACGTTATAAAATCAATGTAAGAAAGTGTAAGGCCCATAATAAAATATCAAAACATTGAAATGTTTAGAGTTTACATGTGTGTTGGGCGCCATTGAAGCAAAATATTGGTCTCATGTTTTATTTGGAATGTATCTAAATCATATACAATACTTTTGTTCTTAATTGCTTTAAAGGAGCTGTTTTGCGGTGTTTAAAACTGTTTTTACTTTTATATGGAGGTAATATTGTTATCTTGCTTAAAACAGAAGACAGTTTACATAAAAGCTTGTTGTTATTAGAAAATTACTCTTTACTCTTTTTACTGGTATTGTTAATTTGCTTGATTTTTTTTTCAAATAATAATAATTTAGTTTTTTTTACATGTCATTTCTTTTAATTTTGTAACTATGTCAAATCCATCTAAACTTGTTTGTATAAATTATGTTTACTTTGTTCATGTAAATATTAACAAAACTAATAATGTACTTGTAAATTAAAATGTTTATGTTTAATTACAAGACCCTTTTTACAAAACTTTGACATGAACGTTAAAAATGTTTATGCCAATTAACTGTTTGACTTGACTTGATATATATCTTGTTTATAGATCTTTTTACACTTTCCTTCTTATTTTCTTAACCTTAAATTCGAGCTTTTCGTATTACAATTGTACAAAATATTGGTCATGATTTTACATAAAAGTGGATCAATCTTTGACATTACTTATTTCGATAAACATAAATGTGTAGTTATAAGTAATAAACACTTTTTTAAACTCATGTAAATGTTGTTTTTTTTTTGTTTATCAAACTTGTTTATGTTATTATAAATCAGAGGCAGAATCATATTAAAAGTTAAAATAGTATTATTAATTACAGAAAGTCAACTCAAATTATTTCATATAGGCGTGTTTGACCTGATCAAGAAGAACAATACAAAACGCTCTTAAAATAAAACAATTTTGATTCTTTAAACATAAATGGAGTGCATGTACTCTATCATCCTATAAAGTTTCAAGTCCACTTTTACAATATAGGAAAAATGACACAAATCATAAAGTACAGAGTACCAAATTTAGTGCATGAGTTGTATATTTGAGAAATGGCCGGATTAAAAATAAAGTATGAACTTTAAGAAAGGGCAATAACTCAAAAATAAGAAGAGCAGAGTAACCTTTCTTGTGCACCGTACTTTGGATCATTGAAAGAAGCATACATGTCAGTCTGACTTATAATGACTGACTTATGCTCTGGACAAGCTTAAAGGGACGCCGACGCCGACACCGCCGACAGAAGTAATCCCTATATGTCGTCTTTTCAAGGCGACAAAATGAAAGTAGCATAGTACCTTAACTTCCATACAAAATACTTACTAGGCAGCAGATGATACAAATGGTTCCGGTAATTTAACAAAGATTAACTTTTTGGATACTTTAAAAATAGACAAAATTAGATAAAAGCATTTCTGAGGCACAATGGACCTTTAAAACTTAAAATGGATATTACATACAGGATATTTGTTTGTTATGATGTAATATCGGAAATTATTCCACAGAGTGAACACCAGATGTAATATTTTACGAGTCGCTTAGCAACGAATGAAAATGGAAGAAATTGTTTTCACGAGTGAAATATAATTTGATCGTACATACAAAACAATCAAATTGTTTATTCATTTCATGCTTTTTGCTGGGTTTTAAGTCATTTTAATGATTATCGCCGCGTTACGAAATGCGCTCGCATTCATGACATCACATTGGTCTTTCTGAAAAGTAATTCTGTAACCATTAACGAATAACGTTAAATTTTACAAAATGATATGTGCAGATATTCATGTACATGTACTTCTCGTTTGACATACGGCGTGTATTTCTGACGATAGTTACACTTATGAAAGTTATATTTTTTTCGTCCGTATTCAGATGAAGTCCGGCTACTGTGAACATTTTTCATAATTTCACCGAGAAATTATAAGAATTAGATATAGTTTCACTCTCCACTGAAAAACATTTAAATAGAGAAATCCCTTTTTAGAATAATTCTCATTTGAACTAAACGATTTAGGTCAAGAAAAGTAGAACTCATAAACTTTTGTATTTGCTATTTATAATGATGTATTACATTTTTTCAAATTAAGATTGAGTACTAACTTTAGTTTACTGTTTAAAGAAATTGCTATATCACTTTACTTTAACACAAAATATAGGTCATATTCTGAACTAAACGGATTTTGTTACATTACATTTACTTAGGTAAATACCTAATGTTGATTAGTTAAAACACAACAATATGATGATAAATGACGGTGGAAAAAAAGAAGAAAAAGTAGTATTTTCAAAGTTTGGGATATCCTAAAGATGCTAAATAATGCTTTAAATTTGTAGAATTGGATTGTACTCGTAAAAATGAAACATCTAAAAATGTGTAGCAGAAACAATGATACAAGTACAAAGGAATATATGCAAAATAAAATGATGGCTCAACCAAACTTACATTCCATCCTTTTGTCGGTATTTTAAAGTCAAACCAAATAACTTTTGGAAATTAAAAAGGGTTATAAAGCTATACATAATCGAATAGACATGAAAAACATTAAAATACTCTGTACAAAAAAAAAATAATGTAGAAAACATGCAAGTCGTTTAATGTGTAAAACAGTAATTATGTCTTTAATATTCTTTTTAAATAAATCTGTTTAAAACGTGTATGACATGATAAATTTTCAAAGAATACTTCTTTGTAGTGTGGTTTATAAAGGCGTTACTGAGTAGTTTAACAATATTTACGAGTCAATGGGTTTCGTTGAACGGTCTGTGTAGGTATTACTAAGTAGTAGACTATCAATATCTAAACAAGTAAAATGGTTTCCTGCGGTGAACATTTTAATGATATAATGATAACGTTATTTCATTTAACTATTTTCAACATTATTATTTTTTTTTGGGGGGGGGGGGGGAATAAACGTTTGTATCAGGAATATAGTTGACAATTGAATAAACGATCACTATAGAAGAAGGTCTTTGGAAATTGGTGACAGTTGAAGACCGGAGAATGTCGAACATAAAACAATTGAGATCTGTGTCCAAGACAGAATCCGTTGTTTTACGTTTTTTTAGGCATAAAATCTATGGAACCTAACTTATCTCCAGGTAAAAAACAATGTAGCACCAGTCAATAACACATTCAGTTCTAGGAAATTAAACCGACTTCTGCCTATTATAGTTACTTACAAATTATGTACAGATTCAAGTGGTAAACCTGGTATCATTTTGCAAGATACAATGAGATAGCGTGTCATCAGGTTTCTTCCGCTAAATTCAGTTCAAGTCAGTGATTGAACATAATTAAACGAAATATTAAACATTTCAATTATAAGTATGTGAATTTTTAGAATAATTATTAAACCCATAAAAGAATCAATGATTTTTATTTGCTTGAAATTAGTTATTCAGAAGTGATTTTTACCTAAATATTATATAGTTTTTGCAAAATTGACATATTAAAAAGTCAGACTATTCAATAAATATCTTTGTTGAAATAAGACCATTTGCTCTTTTAATATATCCCCTTAAAATCTTCTTCTATTAAATCGATATCAACAAATGTCTTTAAGGAAAGATTACTGGTATATTTAATAATGATAAGTTACAAGATCACAGCAATGTACACGGAATGATATCGATAAAATGCTTCTTTCAAAATGGTACTTTTTTCCTAGTAAAATCTTCATGTTGAAGAAGAGAAAAGACATTGTTATATTAGTTTGATTGAGTCTGTTTATGGACGATAGTGGTAATTGCAAGCTACCATCCACGTCCCTAGCATGCTTAAGCAGAATTTAACATTTAGCATGAACTGGTAAAATTTTGAAATTTGAAACATCCGCAGAATACATTTTTCATCTTTTATGAAATTGAGTATTGTATGCGTGACATAATTTAAGAGATTTGACAAGGTTGAATTTAACACCTGATAAAACTGCTAGAAAAATTTTCCGCTACAGATCAATGACACGAAAACCTTATCAAGATATATGAACAAAAATATTAAAATTGAATTAAGGGTTTCTCAAAATGTTTATTATTTTTACATCAAGTAACTTATTAATAAGAAGCATGTAAAGAAAGGTAGCATAACAATGTGCTATGTAAAGCAAACGTTGCGTGTACATGACAGTCCAATGCTTTGGTGGTATTGGATATCCTGGGTGTAAGTAAAGAATACGAACATGGCAGAGTTACATGTAGTTAACACTGTATTAATGTCCTCTTCAATTGAATAATCCTATTATACATATGTGGCCTCGATCATATGCTATTGTAATTTCGTAAGGAAAATAGATTAGTCTATTTTTATTACAGCCACGTAGTACAGTGTATGTAAAATCGCTGTCATTCCCGATGGGAAACAATTTGTTCTGCTTCAAAAACAACTCCAGTCGCAATAGGAAATTGTACCGACAGTTCTACATTTAGAAGACATTGCCTTCATTAACCTCTTACAACTATCTATATATACACAATTAGTTTATATTGAGAAAAAAGATTCAGACATTTTACCATCTCAGAACGATACAAGCAAAAGAAGACAAGCAGAGTTTTAAAGAATATCATAAGAGCATATAGTACTGAAAGTAACGTTTGAAAATATGTATCTTTTTTATGAAGGACAGACTTAAAGATAAAAATTTACTGATATTTTGAAAAAAAGCACGAGTTTACAGTAGCCACAAAACATTGTAAAAATATGGATATTCTAAAACAAAATTAACATACTGCTTAATTACGCAACTTTTTTCGCTACGTATTTTAAAGTAATATGCTAGATGCTTGTATTTTTAACTAATGCTCGGAAGATTGGGACTTCCATTGTCTTTAACATGTACTACATAGCTTAAAGTATGAATTATTTGCTGCCATTGTTGTACATTAGAGTAATTATAATGAATATGAGTTTCTTTTGACTCTGTATATATAACCATATATAGTATGTCATTTTGGTAATTGGTGGAAAGAAAAGAATTCAGAGTTACTCTGAGTTGTTAATAATTCTGGTAATTTGGTTATTCATTATCTAGATATCTGGAAAAGATGATATTTAGAAGAAATAAAATCAACACAGTTACATGAATTTTACAGACCCGGTTTTAATGGGTCTGTACTTGAGGGATATAATGGAAACGTGCAACATCCCCTTAGCACCGGATTGAGCAAAACTCAATCTTCTACTCAATGTGATGTAATCAATGATCCTGCAGGACCAGAAAAAATATAACAACACTGCAGTGAAGTACAGAGCAACGTCTTACCGCTGTCAAACGGCACTTGACACCTTTTAAGTTGAAAATCTTTGCAAACGCTCGTATATTGAACTTGTGTTTTGAGCTAAGTCTTTTGCGTATCATACATAGTGTAGTTTTAAAAACATTTAATTGTACAAAACAATCGCCACTTTAATTATGGAAACTGAAAAGCAAGATGTATGTCATTCAACAATGTGTGACCTCATTGTTTTCATGAATGCAATATTCCATTATATGGTTGTTATGTGTGTGTAGCAGGTGCATTTGTTCTGTAGTGTATTTGTTCACGGGCAATATGATCATAGTATATAATTAACTATATTTAAAATGCAACCAACATATGTTTAATGATGAGTACATATGAACTAGGACGATGTACTTTAACACGTATTCAAAAGTTGAATTTGATATCATGAAAAAGAAATCTCGCCAACAATCCCTTAGATATAATAATGTGGATCAACTCAAATATCGTCTGTCTATG